CCGTGTAAATATTTTTTGATATTTGTAATGCTTTTTGAATAAGAATTAAGTCAACGTATGAAATGTATTGGAATTGATAATTCTGAATATAGGTTGCCATGAGTCGTATAAAGTAAACTAAAAACTGATAGTAGATTTTTAATCACCACGATCTGAGTATACCGACAGCTATCATTGAATTTAACCTATCATACCTTCAGATCGGTTTTCTCATCCTTGTATCATCTTATGTGACTTAATCTGACTCAAGTATCTAGTACTTTATAGATAATTTGTTGCGAAAGCATATCTGACCTATAGCAAAGTGGAAAATCCCATTTGCGCCCTAATTTAAATGTCTTTAGTTTCTTTTCCGAGTTGTGTGAACACGCTGCGCTTGCGAGTGAAACGCATAATAAACTTTATAAATTTACTCCATCACAGATTAAGGGTTTTGCTGCAGACGCCCGACTTAAGCTGAAGTCCAAAAAAAATATTGAAAGCGAGATGATCTGAGGGTTTTTCTCTAAATTGTCAAGTAGCAACAGGAAAAATGGGACCATAAAATGTACCACAATTTTTGGTCTTTCCATTAACTGAAGTCATATATTGCTATCTCATCTATTTAATTAAATAGTTTCTCCCATCACATATATTATGATTCAAGACTAGAGAAAAGCCTAATCTTAATGTGTTTTCCCCCTATTCCAGACAGGATCATGTAGACCTGTTTAAAATGTATGACTCTTCTTTTGGGTGACTCCTTCAGACTTTTGGCACGACTTTATAAGCCGAGTCTAGCAAGCTATCTAACGTGAAAAAAACTGGTTTTCACAGGTTTCAGGAATGGAGTTTTAAGAAAATACCCGACGGCAGGTCTATTAGTCAAGCATGAGCCTCATTTGAGCCACTACAGTTCAAGCGCCTGGAGGAGGGAAGATGGCCCACAAGAGGATGCTTTAGTGGATTCGACTTGGAGTCGATCTTTAATCGTCCCACCAGGGCAGTGTCGACGGCATATTCGTTATCTGTGAATGAAATCCAATTGCTGACTTGTGGAATTTCTTCCCATAAAAATGCTCTTTCTGTACTACAAAGCTAGATGCACAATTTTTTCGACCGTCCGACAACACATTTAATACAGAGACCCTTATTCAAGTCGTTCTCATGTCGAAGTGTGCAATTTTTTAACATGTCAGCACATACCCATCGATGGATCAATGTAAGCTTTTCTGCTAGCACTTCGTTTTTATTCATGTATTTCAGAGTATCACCATAATTCTGGCATTTTTCATAACTCCATACGATATTCGATAAAAATTATGCCGAATTTCTCGTAAAAAATCCCTCCTACTGAGTTAGCGGCAAATGGCCGGTTCAGGCCAGTAGCGTCTGAACCTGGTATGATGCTATCGAGAAAATAAACCCGTTTTACAACCGTTGCATGAGTGGACAGGCTCTCTTCAAGGCACTTATACTATTTACGATGTGGTATGCTTTCGTCATGGTCACCGTACAGATGCTAAGAAACCAGAGAGTTTGAGGCATTTTCTCTGATACTCCTAAAGAAGTGAGTGTATTTGCTGGCATAGCAGATGCAAGAAGCCGGAAATCGCACAAGATACCTTCTTTCTCACGTCCCTTTATTTATGTGGAACATAACACAGTCTTAGGGGCTACTTGGACGAAAGGCGATTCGGCCATTGACGAGGCATGTGAAGCTGTCGTAAAATGGTACATCGCGAATTGCAATTTGCAAATTGCGAATTCGCTCTGGATCTGCTGGACCCTGGGTGTTGGGACTCTTATTCTTTTGCTGTAAAATCGGACATGGTACAATCAGAGGAAGTCTCCTGAATTGTAACTTTATTGTGTAGACTTTCCTTTCGCATAAAAGTGTCTGATCTCACAAGAAGGGAACGGCTTATATCCGTTGACATGCGGTTGTTTGATTTTATTACGGCCTTCAGGTTGGTACAGTTCATAAAACTACCTCATTCGTTTTTGGGTGAAGACGAGATAATCTTTCATCTGTCTTGCCACCTGACGAACACTAAAAAGGATGTATCTAATTGTGGGGAGAGACCTCAAGCTAACGCAAAGTTAGGAGGGCTCTCTGCTCTTGTAAGCCTTTTCCGCCAACTTGACTTCTAGTGAACTTCACGGTCCTATTTAGCTCATCATACCCTAGCAACTCGATTTAAACCCCATTCTCAAATCTGATTTGCAGAGCAGAGTTGGGAGTTAAAATGCACTATACAGGATTAATTGAAGAGAAAGCTAGACTCTACAAGAAATTTCCATAGACATTTTGTTCTATTTTTGTCTTTATATCCCTGTCGAACTGGAAATGCCTAGGTTTCCTCAGAACATGTGGGTTCTAGGTCAAGCCTATTGCCCCTTAGACAAGCGCTTTCGGGGTAGCCTATCTACACGATGGGTAGAGACATGGTTAGTTTCTCAGAATTCTTCTTCATATCATCTCAATTCTCCCATCGATAGAGTTGGCAACACGGACATTAAAAAACTAAATAAGGAAATTAATTTTTTTGAAGTAAATTGATTACCAAAGCGTTTTTCCAGGCCTCCTTGGGCTCAGGTACCAAGTTGCAGTAATGAAATTGTATAATCGAATTCACATTTCTAAACCGATTTCTGTTTTTAGTACTTGAAAACCATCTCGGAATGGCATACCTTTCTCTGGAAGTATAAGTAGTAGTAGAGATAGTTATTATCACTCTAGATTGCATAAGATGATGAAGGAGTGTTCGTCGAATTCTGCTAAAATCGTATAAGTAGGCCTCAGGCTTTCATTAAATTTCAATTAGCCTTGCCTTACTAAAGGTATTCCTCATACAGGCTAGACTGCAATTTCCGCCTCTCATCGTTTCATCAGCATACCCAGCGGGAATCGAAAGCGACTACTGCAATATGCTATCTTGACATATCGCCACCTCGTCGAAACTGCAGTCAGGCTAGGATAAGAATACTTTTTGGAGCAAAGTTAAGTAAAATATATTGCAAACCCAAGGCCTAGCCATATTATTTTGCGAAAATTTAACTATCACTTCTTCATCACCATATGCGACCATTAGTCATCAAAACATTTAGTCAATATTTGTTGAATGCCTCGAAACCTACTTTTATTCAATATAAGGAAATTTATGCGTTTGTTCAGAGGTCACCAATAAACCCAGCCTCATTAAATTTTCTGTAGTCCTCAGAACACCATGTCCCCTCAGTAATGATTTGTAATGCCCTTTCACACTTAATTTGAAAGATTCATTCAGATCGACACACAAGCCGAATCAGATATTCATAGAAAGAGTAACTCCTGAAGATAGAATTTGTACGCTACTAAAGAAAGAAGCTCTATTCCATTAAAAGTGTAGGCTATGATAGTTGAAATCACACAGGCATTATGACTCATATCTCAGGATGATATCAAAAACAATTGATTTAAATTTAGTAAAAATTAGTGTTTACTAAGTATGCTCATCTCTTGTCACTTCAGAGGATGGCAATGCTGACATTAACCTCAATAGGAGGCATTACATTACTTGAATCGACCTAATGTTAGTAAAGTTAGCATCAAAGACATACTGAATGCATATAATGTTACTTATTATGTCTATAACTTGACTGGTTAGTATGATTGTAGGCAGGTGCGCACAAAAGTTGACTAATGTTTATTATATTCGTATTAAAGTAGGGTTTCATCACCTTACACGAAATAGGGTGAATACATCTCAATACATCTAATGTTTATTAGTTAGACCCACAAGCTTCCCTTTAGAGACATGCTTTAGGAGACTTTGGTGTAAATGAGGCTCTCTAACACAAATCGTATATCAAGGCTGGAGGATGAACGGGATGAGATGACAGATTAGGTGTGATAGTACTGATTTCACGCGAGATTTCCTATTGCCCCCCCAAACATTCTTTATCTACCGGACAGAATGATCAGTAACGAGCACCGTTTCGGTTGTGGTGACCGTTCTACACCAATTTCGCATCCTAAATGCTATCTTTGCCTCTTTAAAACCAGACTTAGTGCTCACATTATTCATTTGTTTGACTTTTCAGGACATCCCCGACCCAGTTCGTTTCATCACGCCCGACTGGATGCCGAACAGCCCTTTCACTCCGGGTCTACCAGTAGCTCATGTCAGGTTGGAACGCGTCTTGCCCACCGCTGCATGGCAATGCACCAGCCGGTTGGCGCCCGGTGTGGAGCTGTTTGTGCCCGGCGGTCAGACCCGTCGGGTTCATCCTCATGGAAGTGAGGGAATGAAAACTTCCGATGCGAAAGTGGTGAGTGCTCAATAGCAATTACTCGTAATATTATTTTGGGACATTATTTCGGTCTCCACAAAGGAATAAAATTACATATATTTTGACATTTCCCAAAAAAAGTTCAAAAAATGTAGAATATTTTCAAAGATTTCTCTATCATCAGCATATAATTGATTCAGTGACAATTCTAGGCCCTTTTGTGAACCATAAGGCCTCTCATTCTGGTAGAAACTTACCGGATGCGATCCAGTACGCATTTTGCATAATCTAATCTTTTTGACTCCTCTTTGATAGAGCTTAGATGCGATCATACCATATGCATAAAAGTAATCATTTATTGCTTTTTATTCCAGCATGGAGAGGGAATGTTTCAAAATTCTCAATTATAATACGAATTAACACAGTCTTTTTACGTTGTTCAGCCCCTTTTTGATTTTGCTAAGCCGGTGATTAGTGCTCCAAGTAAGATCACAAATAAAATCGTTGAAATGGATAAAACATATTCAGCAAGATTAGGTTTTAGAGACCTCCATTTATTCTCTAAGAAGATTTTTAGTTAACCTAAATCGCATCAATTGGTAATGCAGTCATATTTCGTTTTAAGTAGGCTTTCGAGACTACCAGTAAATCGAATCTATGAGTTGTGTTCATCCAATTTTGTTTAAGGTGATGAAATACTGGTAGTTTGATTTTCCCAAAAAGATATGATTAGAGCTGATGTTTACATTCAAGTTCACATAGTCTTGCCTTCCCATAAGGTGTTATCATCTAGGGTGGACTGCAATTTCGACCTCGCCTAGGTCTTATCAACACCTCAAGCGGGAATCGAATCATGACAGTGTAGTTATACCCACCAAAGAATGTGAAACTCAAATCTGCCCTGTGATCCAAGGACACTCGTGGCAATGTGGTGGAGTGGTTAACGTGTCGACCTTAGAAGCTGCGCTGTCGAAACTTTAGACCATCCTGGATGGCAACACCTTTTGGAAAAGCAAGGCTATGTGAAATTTAATGATAATTTTATCATATCCATATCATTGTGAGAAAATTCAACTACTAGTCCTTCCTCACCTCAGGATGACTAATACTCTTAAGATAAAAAAATTTACGATTTTCTGCCTTTATGTCAGCCAAGTTACGAAAGATTCCTTATTCCCATCCTTAGACTTACAAACTGTACATTAAAGAATTGTTGATTCCTCTCCTATGGTCAATAGATCCAAGCACATCATATGATTTAGTTTGACAGAAAAAGCGATATTTACTTTTCGTCTAGCCATCGGCGCCTCTTTAATGATGTTTTTATTTTCACCGGACCACTTTTGGTGACAGCGGAACATCATATTTTTGATTTTCTATAGACTGCCGGATAACCCTTTACTGTAGTGAGAAGTCGAGCAAATGGAAGATGAGTCCATAAAAATAAGATCAAATTTAATATAACTTGGTCTTAGTACGGCCTACTATTACATATTTTAGTGATCCAAGTCAGTGGAATCCATTATCTCGTCACATTAGACATCGAACCTAAAGCTCTTCAGCGTTTTCCTCGCTGCCTCCTCTAGTATGCAACTTTGGGTTGATTATATTTGCATTGTCTCTTGCCTTTATTGAGTTAACTTAATGTTTAAGCATGTTGTATTGTGATTGCAGAAGAAAATATAAGTTAACTTTAGGTTTAAAGAATTATTTTAAAGAGCTATTGATTGAGGATTTCTCGATTTTAATATATATTTTAATTTTGTGTTTTGACAAATCTTTCAAGATCTTTATTTTACTTTTGTTTATACATTATCACTTTATCCACAGCTTACATATATATCTAGTTTTTTATTTATATATTTGTTGATACCATTTTTAATGGCCCTCCATCCATTTGGATCTCCAATTTGTAATATTGTGTGTTCTATAAAGGTACTAAAGCTTTATTTTCCTAATATACTTAAATATTTTTGGTTTTCCATTGGTATTGATCCCTTATTTTATTGCTCACTGTAGGAGTCAAATGATACGTCCGGTGACTTAGATTTTATGTTTACTAGTAAATCTTTCTTAAGCACTTTTGAAAGTATTACCATTTGGAGTTCAGTTTATTGAGTACTTTGTAAGTTTATATTTTTCTTTTGATTTTTTTATGAAATATTAATTTACATTTGTTGAGCTTACTTCGATTTCAAGTATAAGTGTTTGGTGAAGAGATTCGAAGGTCGATTCCTCTTGATCAGATGTCGATTGGCCTTACTGGAACCTTTAAGTTGACGCTGTTTTCCGGTGAAAACGTGCTACGCTCTCGTCCGTCATATGACAAAAATCGTCGCAGCAAGGTACCATTCTTACAACCAAATTCAAGCTAACGAGTCAAGAATCTCTTCACCAAACACTTTCACTCGTAATGGAAGTAAGCTCAACAAGTATGAAATATGAGATTCCTCGAAACACTAACTTTTATACGCATATTACTTTATTATTGATAATTTTTAATTTGATATTTATGTGTTTTCTATTGACTGTTGCCTTCTTCAATACGATTTTCAAGCTCTAAGAAGAGGAATTAAATTATATCCTAGTATCAATTTCAAGTCCTCTCTCTAGCCTACATTTTCGAGAACTACATGCAGTCTAGAAGACGACTCCTGCCTATTTCGGCGATTATGATGGAAACTCGCCTTCCTTTCATCAAAAATCCCACTATTAATTTGAATTAGGAAAGAGACCTGATCGGCATGTAGGCCAAATTGCCATACGAGCCACTAGAACATGTGGCCCTGAGGGAGTGACGACTTGTTGTCATTCGATACTCTCGACCTGGCTTCGAATCCTATTGGATGTGTTGATGATGATGTGTCAAGGGTAAAGCGGCATTTAAGTTGGGATACTAAAACCTGTATTGGTACAAGACCGGATGACATGCATTCCCTTCGTTGTAAGAACTTTAACTATCAGTCCTTACCTTATCATAAGCGTCCTCACCTGACTTCAAAATCCAACTAAGGTTTACCGATGGTCTCGAAAAATATTCTTCCTGAATATAAGAACTTGCAATAGTTGAGATCACTTGTTGAAATGGAATTCCATTCGGGATTAGCAACTCTCCTATCCAAAACACATCCTGGACTCTAGCTCGCAACATTTAGTGTCTCTCTTCCAATCAAACTGTGCGACTTATCTTCATCTAGAATGGGTTTACCAATTATCGGTAGGTCTGGAACTCTTGGCCAAAACGTGCTACCGCCTGTTTATGGTTTTAGGGCAACTTACGTCAAGACCGCTCCAACGGTAGCGGTACAGGCGTCGAGGCTGGATACTCCAGCGATTCTTCTGCAACTAGTTCCATGCCCAAGGTCAATAAGATTGGCAGCAGTAGCAAGAAGAAGCTGTCGATGCCGGCACTGCCTACTCCAACAGGGGACCTCGATACGGTGAGCGACAGGAGGATGAGTGAGGCAAAAAGTGCAGCTGGTACCAGCTTCGCTTCGGGTCCCAGCATGGCGTCTAGTGCTGGAGGTCCCAGCATCGGCAGTGCCTCCAGCACCCTGGGCTCAGACAATCCACTCTCGGACCCAAGTCTCGCCCAGATGGCGACTTTTCTCTGCATCACGGACTCGTGGTCTAATTGGGGTGCATGTTCTGTGACTTGCGGTGTCGGAATTCGAACCCGACACCGTCAGATGCTGGTGAACAAGAAGAACGAGCTCTGCCAACACCTCCCTCTGCTGCAGGAAGAGGTTCGCATGAGAACTTTTAATGATATTTACTCATTATACATTACTGCCAACTATGCTGACTCACTTAATTATCATTTAATTTCCTCAAGAAATCAAAATAACTTAGTTACTAATGTTTTTTTCAAAAACCTTTTCCCTTCCAACATTTTATTTATTGCTTCTGACATTTAAGTTAAATACCATTTTTTCGTATTTTGGCTTTTCCGATAATTAGGATAGTGTGGATAAGAATGTCACGATAGCAACAGATTATATGGGTCAGACTGGCCCCAAAGTATAAGCTTCATAAGAATTTTAAGCCCCAATAACCTAATTTCAATTATCTTTCCAAATTAAGGTATTCCGGAGGTGAAATAGGGACGATTTCTGGTCCACTTTAATGGTCCTATATGAAACTAGCTAACTACCTTCTCAAAAGAAATGAAAGGTATTACCAGTATTACTTTGGTCAATCCGTTTGATAAAACGTTGTAATTCAAGCGAATGGTAAAGTGATTGGATCTTAGCAAATAGCCATATAAGATTTTATTCCAGAATGCTTTCTGACGTATGCATTTTATTCAATTAATACTAACCTAAATGAAAAACTTTAGTTGGACTACTAAGGAGATAGTTTTTGTTTAACAAAGGTGAATATAAAGAATGACAAGACGCCTCAAGCAGTTGTGAAGGTGGATTTGAATGATATTATTGATGACGTTGGCACAAGGTAGGTCTAAGAGAATGGTATTGGGGTGATGAAGAGTACTAAAAGTAGCAATGGCTTTTAGTGGCATCGTTCATGCAGATTTTTCTCACAGTAAATAGTGGACGGAGTGGGTGGAAACCCTCTAGCCCTTTGTATGCTCCATTTATCCATCCTCAAAAGTACACACCAATCAAGCCATACTTTTAATTAAAGCATATGTGAACATCTAATTTCGAAATATGATAAATAATATATAAAGTGAACAATAATATATAAATACATAACATTAATGTATAAAGAATATTAATATACTACTATTATAAGGCGATTTGTGTATTAATTTAATTATTGCAAGGGATTTTTTTCCTAAATGAACGGGGCACTTGCGCTGCTAAAAGTATTTATCATGAACGTATGCCTAAACTCTATATTTTATTTGTTCTCTGCTTATCTTTAAAATCTTGAGTTCGTTAGAACTTTCATTTTAGCTTAATAGTTGGACAAAAGAGTTTCGTTACTCGAATATTACTTTGACGTTGTGCTCGTTGATTTTGGCTCTAAGCTCCTCAGTGCAATACTCCAGAGGTTCCGATGCTTTCTTGCTGAACCTTCATCTATCCTACGATAACAGACATCGTCAGAGAGGGAAAACATTCTTTAGCAAACCTCACATTAAACCAGGAGTCTAGAATATTGACTAGGCTCAATCTTGTTAATATCTTAAAGATTAAATTCTTAATATAATAAGGTATTTGCTCAAGTGATTGCCTAACAGACTAGTGCTGCTTATGTAGAAATAGTCGAGCACTCCTTTTAGTTCACAACCTATTAAAATTTTAATCTGGCAATAATAACACATCTCATTACAATAATAACGCATGTTCTGTTGTACAGTTGTATTTTGTAGTTACACATTACAGTTAGGCTTTTAGAGTTCATTCTGGGCTCCAAGCAACAAGGCGGTGATCTCAAGATCCTAGTTTTCAATTCAATACCTTGTCTTTGATAGCCATTATCGTTTGCACTA